AAGAAATCGCGATGTCGTCGAGGTAGCACACGCAGTGTGACCACTTTGCTTTCCCCGAGGACGCGGTCCATGAGTCTTTGAAACGTCGCAGGAGCATTGCAAAGACCAAAGGGCGTACGAGTAAACTCAAACAACCCTCTGTGGGACGTGAACGCAGTTTTACACTGGTCACGGTTACCTATCCGGACCTGTTTGTAACCTTTAGAGGCGTCAGGCGTGGTAAAGTACCGTGCATCACCCAGGTTACCTACGATGGAGTTTATCGTGGGGAGCGGATAGGCATCCTTACAAGTCACTCGATTCATACGGCGATAGTCGTCGCAAAGGCGATGACTGCCATCTTTCTTAGGCACCAGCACAAACGAGATGCCCAGGAGCTAGACGAGCGGCAAATAATGCCAGCCGCAAGCATGTCATCTAGCAACTCATCGGTAATCTGCCTTTTGGCGAGACTGACGGGCCTGGGGTTACACTTCAAAGGAAGCGCGTCACCAGTTTCGATCACATGGCTCACTAAATCGGTGCAGCCAGGTTGATCGGTTAGGAGTTCGTCGTACCGACGTAACAGTGTCGACAGACGAGCCTTCTGTGCTTCATCCAACTGAGTCGCGCAGGCGACCAAAGGATGTAGTGCCTCTTCGTGTCGTGTCGGTCGATCCACACAGGGGTTTCGAGCCAACGAGCCCGGAACGCCAGGGTACAACCAAATGATAGTGATGAGGACGACATGGAAAGCGACAACAAGGGTGATCCAGGTCCGACAGTGGCCGAAGCTGCGCATAGCGTCAGCGTGTGGTGTACACGTATCCCGCAGGAGTACGGCCACCAGCGTGGGTCCTGTCTTAGCGAGCCGCAGGGCACGCGTTAACCGTCGCCGTGGCGAGAACACGATACTGCTCAAAGTCGCAACACTTTATTGTGGCATGCACCAAACGCAGTACAGCCCGTTGCAAAGGCGCGGCGGGAAAGCAAATAGGCTTATCCACGCCATAAATGTACTTCACAGGGTGCCACGAGCACGTCTCCGCGGTAAAGGTGATCCACGGAGACACCGGGACCAAGGCCTGGTTGCTAGAGCGAGGGCAAAGGCGCTCGCGTTGGCTTCGGAGGGAGACGGGTCGGTGTAGCTAGGCCACGCACTAGGACACCGTACCGCCCTTCGGCCGTGCGGACACAGTGGGGCAACAAAAGGTGAGCGTTTGCCTCGGGCGCGAGGCACCGTCAGCGAAGGTCCGACGAGCCCCGAGCGACGGGCGTCGACGGTCGGAAAAGATTGCATGGCTCACCGTTTGAAGTCCTGGAGAGTATCTGTCCGTTCCTGACGCAGCGCGCGAAAACCTCTTCGGCGCCACAGTCAACATCCGGTACCGGGTGAGGGAGTTAAACGTCACTCCACTCTCCCAGCGCGGCAAAAGCAAAGGAGGGCAGACATGTCAGGACATGAAAACGGCAAAAAAGGCGGCAAAGCCCACGCAAAGGCAGCGGGCTAGCCTCAATTCCCATAAGCGTCTTGCGGGTATTTGCCGAGAAGAGGGGGCTGGCGGAAAAGCTGGCTCACAGTATAAGGGATTTTGAGGCCGCTGTCGTTGCTGCTAGGCCGCCGCGTCGTCAAATGAAGATTACAGACTTTGTCACACGAAGTTAATAAATTACTGCACATTTTTTGTTCTTTCATCGCACTCCCTGAAGGTTTCTTTTTTTGACAGGTAAGTGAGCGACCTGACGCGATTTTGGTTAAGCAGTACTACCGTTTAGTACGTACTTTTTCTGAGCTCCGGCCAACTACGGTTTAACGAGGTTTCACTGTATTCTGTTAACCAGCCTGACTACTATTTTGCTTACAAAATGATCTTTATTCTTTATCACCAGTTTATGTCATCTTTAGCTCTTTCGTTACCACGCCTATTCAAATTTATCACTGGTAAATTATACTTTGAATCATTCTTTTTAGCATGTTGAATTTGTTCCACATACATCTAGCACTTCGTAGTGGTTTGTTCAGCCACTGACCTGCCAGAATCGGTTTGAATTTGCCAGTGTGGCAGACATTTCGGTGAACCAATGTGTGTATGTGTGGCCGGTAAATGGGCTTGGCTGACAAACTTGAGAGAAATGCGTGCCGCATGTGGTTATGCCGCAGTAACATCAAAATTCTGTAATGAAAAGAACTTCAGCAAGTCAAATATAAAATTATGGCATTACCTTTGCAATCTCAGCGTTGAGCCATAATAATTGCCTCAAATTTATGCTGGCTATTCACTAGAGAGCTGTAGTTAGGAGTCAGAAAAAATTATTTTACAAAAAAATTATGTCCAACGTCTGCTGCATGTATAATGTGTGGAGGTTATCCTTTCACACATTTTCCAGCAGCTTCACTTTCGCTTCTATTATTACATCAGACACAGGGCTGCATCCAGTGTTGCTAGTGCTCCTATGTCGTTGTCACGAGCGCATGGGTGTGCGCCTGCGTCATGAGAAACGCGCACCCCTCGAAACTTTCTTGCAACCGCAGTTGAATAGAGTGACGGAAAACTCCGAAGGTTATAGCGTCTCAGTTTCAAGCTCTGGTGGCGATAGTGTTTTGCGTCAACCTGTGACATCCGTAGTTGTTCATGGGTTGGATTGGTTTACGGCCTCAGGTGGTTTCCTCCATTGCACGTGTATAGTTGCTGACTTTTGTGTGCTATCTTAGAGCTACTCTGGTTACGTGCGGGATCTACGCGTCGCTGGGGCATTATGTGCTGGTGCTTTCCACAAAGCTTCTGCTCACCACAAGAGGGCAACCGGAGCACATCTCGGCACCGCACACCGCACTATAGAGTGGTGTCAGACGTTTGAAAGTGTGAACTGTGCAAGCAATTTCGTTCTTTTTTTTTTTTTTTTCAGGACTATCAGCGTAAATGCTTGGATGCACATTTTGGAATAAGCCTATGTGGAGAGAGGTGGCTCGCGGAAAGAGGGGTGACGCCAGATGAACTAGTGAATTTGAATGGACGTTTGATGTATATAGGCATTATTCACATTGCGTATGTCCAGCTGTACTGAAAAACCAGCAAGCTCTTCTGGTAAAAAAAAAAACAAAAAAAATTATGTCAAAAGTATGCGAGTGGACCTGTGTTTTGCGAAAAAGAGAGATGCTTCACCGCATGGCATGAGCATTGAGGCATTATTTTGGTTCAGGTTTCTTTCGTCTATGCTAATAGAAACATTGTGTAGAACATTTAGTATTTTTTATGATATTCCTAGGCCATTCATCTTCAATATGTGTATTCTGAATTTGCTTTCTTTGATTGTTCTTGCAGATATGGTGTGTTTTATTCCTGTGTTTATTGGCTGGCAACCAAAGTTACACTTTTCAAATGTTTATACAACATTGCACAATAGTTTTATTCCACTATAGTTTATATTGTTTGGGGAAGGGCATTTCATTATGCGTAATTTAGTATGCTGCAATGTGTACTGGAGCATAGAGTTTCCTATTATACACTAAAGGGAACTCTGGCACTAGTGTCTATAGGAGCTCAAATGCACGGCGCTTCAGCGAGTGTGGGAATGATGGGTAGTACACACATTTGTTTAAACTTCGTACTTTCGGCCTGCTTTTGGCTCCGTGTGTGTTCGTGTGGCTTGAAGTTTTCTTATGAAACAAAAATCAGCAAATGTTCAGCGGTTGCGCTTCACTACCCTATTCTTTTAGACTTACCTTTCCGAATTGGGTCACGAAGTTCAAAAGGGTTAAATCTTTCATTCAAAACAAAACCGAAACACAGCAATAAACGAAGCCGCCAGTACGATTCGCTGCCAGCAAGTACGAAGACTAGGCAAATGTGTGTACTACCCATCATTCCCATGGTCGCTGAACGATCGCAGCGCCAGAGTGCCCTCTAGTTAATTTTAGAAAACTTTATGTACTGGAGTACTCCACCAACTGGCTGAAACTTCGTCCTCGAGACGTATAAAAAGCAGCTGTTTTCTCCCGGTAACAAAAAAGTTAATGTCAAACTGTCAATATTTCTGTCTGAATTCAACACATTTGCATCTCTGTAGGGCTTGGCATCCATTCTATGCTATGAAACGTCATTCGTTTTCTTGTGTAGGTTCACATGATATATTAGTGCAAGTGAAGGTCTCCGCTTGTGTGTTGTTAACTCATCATGTGCAAAGGAAAAGTATTCAGTATATGTCGAGTCTTCTTAAAGTCTTGTTTTCGTGTGAATTTCATGGTAAGTGCAGCGAGTGCATGATCTGATAAAGAATGCTAAGGGCTCATAATATTTTTTAAAGAGGCAGTATTGTGTGGGTCATATAAACTGCCTGCACAGATAATACCGGCATGTGACCATGGTTTACCAAGGGCTTGCTCCCACTGTAAACTTTTCCTGCTCCAAGCCTCGCCGCGGTGGTTGATATAGTGGCTAAGGTACTCGGCTGCTGACCCGCAGGTCGTGGGATTGAATCCTGGCTGCAGCGGCTGCATTTCCGATGGAGGCGAAAATGTTGTAGGCCTGTGTGCTCAGATTTGGGTGCAGGTTAAAGAACCCCAGGTGATCGAAATTTCCGGAGCCCTCCACTACGGCGTCTCTCATAATTATATGGTGATTTTGGGATTTTAAACTCCACATCACTATCTTTTCTGGCTCCAAGTTGCTCCAAAATGCCAAGGGCCACTTTGATAGCTAAAAAAAAAAGCAAGAAAAGTAAACAAAGAAATCGAAATAAAGCACAAGTAGGAAAGTGTAGCAAAACTAAGGAAGAAAATAAAATGACTTGGCTCAACAACTTGCAAAAATACATTAAAAATTTTCTTTATTCAGTGATTGAAAAAAGCAGAACAATGAAATACTTGAAATTTTACGGGGACCAGGTGTCCTGGTTTGGATTATGGGTCTTCTGCTGTGTTTTATACATTCGATTCCAAACTTTCAGGTTTGTTTGTTTTGTTGCCGTGCAAGTTGTTGCCATGACGGGTATATTGTGACACATTGCTCTCTTTCCCCCAGCTACCTGAATGCATTGGACCGCATCTCGCAGCCAAACTACACACCGACACAGCAGGATGTACTACGAACAAGAGTCAAGACAACGGGCATTGTCGAGACACATTTTGTCTTCAAGGAGTTGCACTTCAAGTGAGTGAGATGCCTGGGGAAGGGGGGGGGGGGGGGGGAATGACAACTGTAGATTTCATGGGGCCGTGGTCATTTTTTCAATACAACTCGAATATTTTCGTCATGCATGACATTTGTTTTGATAACTACCTATTTAGGTGTCGCTGAATATTGAGCACACCCAAATGTTCAGTAAAAAAAGTGAATATTCGAGCAACTAAAAATTACCGAAAAGCCTCATTGATCTGCATATCCATTTTAATGTCGTAAGGTTATAGCACAAGTGTGTTTGAGCATGAAGAAAAATAAGCCAGTGAAGAAGGGAAATACGGATGACAGGATGAGCGCTAAACTTCCAACTTCTGTTTATTGCATAACCCTACAGCACATTATAGAGCTCTGCTGGTTGAACACGGTGTACTGCACACATTACAAAAATTTTGAGCATGTGGCACAGCACACGTGACAGCTGATGAGCTGCAGCGGTCTGGGCTTTAGCGATTCTGAGAGTCTTTTTTCGCCGCTTATGCTCTGCAGCTCCTCAATGAGCCTTCACTTGGCGAGGCACAGGCCGATGTCGCTAAGCTTTTCGAGCAGTGGCTTTTTGCGGAACCTTAAGCTTGGGATTTGGGTGGCATCGACGCTGTCTTTCTAGGAGCATTTGCTAAATGGCGCCCACTGATTGGGTTCTAGAGAAGGGCTGTTGTGAGGAGGAATCGCACGCCTGCCGATGTAGGTGCCGTCTTTGTGTGGTATCGGAGTGAGGGGCAGGTTTCTGAAACATATTTAGTTTTTTTTAATTAGTTATACCAATTTCTTTTTGGCTATTTCGGTCAAATATATCATTTTCAACTTTGTTCATTTATTGTAACCTTGGTTTGAGCATTGCTACCCTTGTTTTAGGCCTGTGCTGATTGTGAACATGATCACGCTACGCGAGATGGATAGACGACAGGCCCCTCAGAGACCCATGTCTCCCCAGAAGTGCTGCACGCTTAAAAGCGTGTCCTTTTTGTACGTTGCAGGATGTTTGATGTAGGAGGCCAGCGGTCCGAACGGAAGAAGTGGATTCACTGCTTTGAAGGTGTGACGGCCATCATCTTCTGCGTGGCCCTGAGTGGCTATGACCTCGTATTGGCCGAGGACGAGGAAATGGTGGGTGCCTACGGTGTCACTGACAGGGCAGCTAGGGAACGGAAGAGCTCAGTTTATGTAGTGGCTCAACGTAAAATGCTTCAGAATTATGTGTGTGCAGTAAGCAGGTCTCCTGAGGGGTGCAGTCTTAATTAATTAAAAGTGATGCTTCCCTGCCAGCTAGTTGTTTGCTTCTGTGCCTGACTGTGAGGAGGAGGAATGGCCATTTTTCTTTTTGGGATCTGAGAAGGTTCCTGGCCCACCAGTTGTGCTAACTGCTGCCCAGTGCAGTTTGAGATAGATACCTTGTCTCTAAAGGTAGTACGGTTTATCCCAGACATGTCAAACTTGGATATCAAACTATTTGCCTGTGTTGAACAGTTGAGAAACACCCTTGAATATCTCATGCAAAGTAGGATGCTGTTGCACACTTATGTAGACCACCACACAGTGACACATCTGGCATATCGAATGCTGTGCCACACCGAAACCCTGAAAGTGCATTTTTCCTTATAAGTATTATTCCCTTTTCAGCTGCATTTTAACAAGCTCTGTCCCTTTTTTTTCCTTTCAGGTGGCAAAACATTGGTATCGTTACATTACATTGCATTGCTCTGGTCGGTTGCACAGTGCCTGAGAGTGCACGGGGTTGTGTGATGCACATTCTCTAGATTGTAATGTTCAGCTCTATTGTTTTTCAAAGAGGCAGATTGCCAAAACAATCAATCAATCAATCAGTTTATTATCATGTCATAAAAGGATGTTACAGGGAGTAAGAAGTACAATACTGCAACGGGACCCTCGGTGATCATTACAAATAATAAAAGCACAAGCAGCTGTTAGAATCGTAGAAGCAAAGATATATAAAGCAGAATGAAAACAAAAAGGCATGGAATCAAAAAACAAATAATACAGCATAAAACAATACAAACAAGATGATAGATCAACTATTTAACAGGTACTCTTTTAATGAGTTTTTAAATGAAAATAAAGAAACCTTGCATTTTAGCGAAGTTGACAAATTATTCCATATGATGATGGTACAGAAGAGAGAAGATGATTTACCATAGTTAGTACGAACCTTAGGAAGTAAAAAGTTATTATTAGCCGCGAACCTGGTTGTGTTAGTATTAACTAACATCTTAGGATCAATGAAATTAGCAGAAAGTTGATTTCTTATTTGTTTATGCAAAAACATAATTAGATTAAACCTGAATAGATAGTTAACAGTTAAGATTTTATTGCATTGAAGAAGGGGAGCGGCGCTACTGTCGCGGGAACAGTTAAAAATAGCGCGAATAGCTCGATTTTGTAGATGTTGTACGGATGAAAGATGACACTGGTAAGTATTCCACCAATAATTTCACTTAAGAGCCAAAGGCTCTTAAGTGAAATAAATGTGAAGTGACTTGTCAGCCTCGTCACAATGCTGGCATTTCTTCCAATGTTTAGTCATTTTCATTAGTACACGGGCCTATATGCATGACCTTGGAGATCTGCAACCTACGAATGTATTTTTAGTTATGAAATACACATCGTGGAGGCTACATTTTTTTTCTTTACCTGTCATATCAGTGGCTGCCTGCTGCAAAGCCACAAGTGCCTTTGCAAAAATTTTAAAAGTGGAGACTTCTTTAGTTGTTGCTTGTTAGTGTGGATCTGGCGCGGCATTGTCTCTTGCAGCGCTGTGAACTTCTGAATTTCTGGCTCGGTTCATGAATAATATCCTGAGTTGTGAGTCAACCTAGTAATGACCATCAGATCACTGGGAAGGACAAATTAGGGTATTTCCTTTCCTAATTAAAGCCCTCTTAAAGTTGTTTTGCTCCAAAGATTGTTTCTCAATGCATGCTATGCTTCAGTTGATATGCAGATGGGGGCAACAGACATGTCTTTGAGGTATGCAAGTCTGCACACATTGGCTAAGAATTAATTTGACAAATTGTGCTTCATATCTCAGCCTGTTAGACGTAAAAATCACAACCACAGGCCTTACAGTTGTGTTTAGCTTAAAAAAGGAGATGCTACACTGACCTCACTGACCCCGCCCTCTCCTCGGCATTTTCTATGCCTTCTCGGTGGGCAAAGAGGCTCTGTTCTAACGGGCACAGAGTGTGGCCCTGGTCTTCTATGGTCCTCCGAAATGCATTGCCACATCAGTGTGGCAGAACATTCTAGACAGTCTTCACTTCTGTAAGTATTTGAATAATGGTTGTGCTTTGTATGAATTCACGTTTTATGCAGGGCCATTCGTGGATGGCTCTCTTTAAAGGGCACATATGCATTGGGTCACGAAGACAATGTTGCATAAACGGATATGTTTCAGTAATCTGCAAGAAATGACTGACGGTTGGCTCTTGTTAATTCAAACTCGAAGAGATTTTTAAACTTGTTTATAGTATTATCAAGAAGTTTGAATTATTAGAAGTTCTCAGATATAGGACTCTGGGCAAGGTGTCACATTGATTTTGTCACATTAAACATTTTTTAAGTGTTTTTAAACCCTAACTGCACCCGATGAACAGGAAACAGAGGTTTAAGGTCTATGAGTTTATTGGCCATTTATTGCTGATCAGAAAAGAAAATGTGAATTGCCTATTGCTTCTTTGCTACTATATGTGCCTTCAGCACCAATCTCTCTCTACCAGTTGAGAGGCATCACGGTTTACCATGCATGGGCCTCATTTATATTACCGTAATTACTCGAATCTAGCGTGCACCTTTTTTCCGGTTGAGCGAGTTCATAAATTGCATGCGCGTTAGAATCGAGTATGAACAAAAAAATTACGATCAATCTATTGCCATCGGCAAATCCAAAATGGCCGCCCCCTACGTGCGTCGGCATGGCGCGTCGGCTATTTCTGCCTATGTGTTTCCCATGTGCGGCACTTCGTACGTGTGCTGAGGAGTTCGTCATCTAGTAGTGCATTAGCATCGACGTAGTGGAAGGGCCGACTCCAAAAACTCGAGTGCACCACGATGGCGCTTTTAAAAGAAAAGTCATCGTGTGTGCAGAAACGGACGGAAATCGGGCCGCATCGCGGTCGTTCGGAGTTCCAGAAACGTGCGTGCGGGAGCGGCGGAAACAAAAGCAGAAGATTGTCGACAGCAAAGCTTCATGCAAAGGCTTCAGTGGACCACAGCAGGGTCTGTTTCCGCAAATCAAAGAGCTGCTCGGCGAGTATGTGCTTTAGCAGCGAGCGGCACAGCGGCCCGTGACGACAGAAGTGCTCCAAGTGCGGGCTATGCAATTAGCCTTAGAAAAAGGTCTAACGCGGAGCCAGTTTAAAGTGAGCAGGTGCTGGCTAAGTAACTTTATGAAGAGAAAAGGCTTTTTCCTCCGAAGGGGAACATGCATATGCGAAAAGTTTTGCGAAGAAGTACGATGAAAAGCTTCACAGTTTTCAGAGGTTCGTCCTAAACTTGCGGCGCAACAACGGCTACCTGCTTGGGCAAATCGGGAATGCCGATCAGACGCCTCTTTACTTCGACATGCCTGGCACCACAATCGTCGAGAAGAAGGGGGCGAAGCAATTTCGCGTGCTGACATCGGCCCACGGTAAAACTACAGTGACGGCAATGCTCCGTTACACGTCAGATGGGCACAAGCTTCGCCCGTACCTCATATTTAAATGGAAGACACCCCCGAAAAAAGTCGTTTTTTCGAGTGGTGTGATCGTGTGGGCCAGCGATCAAAATGGGTGCGCGTTGCAATCGATGTCTTACGTTTTTTTTTTTTTTTCGCGGTGGAAATCGGGTGCGCGATACAATCTAGGGCGCGGTAGAATCGAGTAAATACGGTATTTGTTTACTAGCAAACTCTTTTTTTTTTTTGAAGGTGTGAGGCAGTTATTTTTCATTTTAGGACTGTTAAGAATATACAAGCACACAAATTTTCAACAAGTAGTAGGAAAGCCGCAGGTATTTTCCAATATAAAACTGCAAAGAGTATGAATTAACCAATTGACAGTGTTCGAATTAAGAGGCTTCTAAATAAAAATACATTGAAAGAATAGAGGGCCAACCAACGAGTTGAATTTTGTTTGAATTAACCAAAAGTATGAATTATCAGAGTTTGAATTATTGAGAGTTTAATGTAATAAACTTTAAATAAAGTCTGGCAGTTTCCTACGCGTGTGGTAGGTGATGAGGAGATTAACCCCTGTCCTGTCCCACCCTTCGTCGATTAAAAAATATTGTTTTACTTGTACTCGGTTCTACTTGTCAAGGTTTAGTAGTTGACGCAAGGGCTTGGAGATGGGTTTGTTCTCCATGAAATGACATTATCAGAAACTCGGGTGGCCTCGTTTCAGAACCGGATGATTGAGAGCATGAAGCTGTTTGACTCCATCTGCAACAACAAGTGGTTTGTGGACACGTCCATCATCCTCTTCCTCAACAAGAAGGACCTCTTCGAGGAGAAGATCACCCGGTCACCACTGACCATTTGCTTTCCAGAGTACACAGGTGAGCACTGTTCTTCTGGACCTATTCTACAAGTGCCGAACCGTACCTTTGTCTGCTGTATCACTACGCTTTAACTTTATATTCTGCAAATGCCAGCTGAAATGACAATAATCTTTATGTCGGAAGGGGTCAAAAGTGCCTAAAGCAAAGATTTCATAGATTAAAAGGGCTTTCTTTGTTAAGGGGCAATCGGATTGCTGCTGGTATTTCTGTCTCTTCTAATTTCTTCACCTGTTAGCTAACCAACCATGGGGACACCATTGTTTGCAAGTGTCGCATTGGTAGATGTCAAAGCCACCAACACCAAGTTACCTACCATGCAAAAAAACTGTTGTGCTGGAAATGGTTACCAATAACATTCATTGACAAAAGCAACGAGATGGCTTCCCACCTCACTAAAGCTTTCAATACCGAAATGTCAAGTCCTGTCCCATTGATTAAACGTCTCTGTTGCTTCATGCTTGATGCTTGCCTGTATTTGAGCCCACTTTAGTTTTTGACCATTCATCACTCACCACAGAAACTTACATGTGATTGCTAAACCACACGGAAAACTAGCAGATCGATGTCTACTATTAGTGCAGTCCACCTATACACCTTTTCACAAGACCACTCTGGAACCCCTGACTGCGGGGGTCGAGAGTATGTTCTCAGTGTTGCTTGCCATCGTGCCTTGGGCTTTGCATGCCGTACCCGCATACATGATACGCTTGGATGCAGTATGTGTAATAATAGCTGCCTCCCTCCATTAAAAAGTGACTGTCGTGGCAGGAAATTGTGCGTATTCGAAGAACAGACCATTTGGCTATCGCTGTGTCGTGTACAGGTGCACATGCAGTCATTGCAAAAGAACAATTTGAGTGAAATCGTGTCTGCAGCATAGTACATCATGCGATAAGCACAGCTAGGATATGTTGGTGCTGCGTCGCTTTCCGGCGTTGCCTGAATTGCGGAAGAAGTGGGTGTCGTCTGTAAATTGAAAGTACCTCCATGTCTCGCCATCCTCACGCCTCTATGCTCGGCACTTGCTTGATAGAAAGAAAACCGACAAGAACAACGTTTCTGTGCTGCGTTTTGGATACCGAAAAAAAGGTACAGGAGGAGTCACACATGTCCCCAGAGCACCCAGTTGGCCGCTTTAATTGCTGTTTTTTGCAAAAACATGCAAATACCGATGCTGAAATAATACGTATCACAGTTACCTTGCATACACTCTTGCTGTAATTATAGCATGATCAGAAGCTTGTAACTAATGTGAAGTAGCAGCTGCGGACAATACTTTCTCCAGCCAAACACCCTGCTGCTCTACTGAAGTGTGATTACATCTGCATGGAATTCGCTGAAGGGAATCTGCTTTCTGGTTCTAGTACGGACGATAAAGCACCACCATTCGTAGACGCGGAGCTTTTCTTGCGTCACTAGCACGAAGGCGCGCCACTGAGCGGTTCAAACAGCCACGGATGGGTCAGTGGCAGCAACGATATCACAAAACATTCTAAGCAAATGAAAAATGGCAAACACACAGACTTCAGCAGGGATTTCGCACTATCGGATAACGCGCCGGTTTGAGTACGCGCAGCCCTAGATGGTGAGCTTGCCAAACTTGCACGTTGAACAGCACGCCCCGCCACGGTGGTCTAGTGGCTGAGGTACTCATTGATGATTGATTGATATGTGGCGTTTAACGTCCCAAAACCACCATATGATTATGAGAGACGCCGTAGTGGAGGGCTCCGGAAATTTCGACAACCTGGGGTTCTTTAACGTGCACCCAAATCTGAGTACACGGGCCTACAACATTTTCGCCTCTATCGGAAATGCAGCCGCCGCAACCGGGATTCGAACCCGCGACCTGCGGGTCAGAAGCCGAGTACTTTAGCCACTAGACCACCGCAGCGGGCGGCTAAGGTACTCAGCTGCCCACCCGTAGGTCGCGGGATCGAATCCCAGCTGCGGCGGATGCATTTTCGATGGAGGCGAAAATGCTGTAGGCCCGTGTGCTCAGATATGAGTGCACGTTAAAGAACCCCAGGGGGTCAAAATTTCTAAAGCCCTCCACTACGTTGTCTCTCATAATCATATGGTGGTTTTGGCATGTTAAGGAGAGATGCTACTCGAAAAACGATTTTCTTTAATAAGAGTCTGAAATTAACACAAATTGGCATGGTAATAGAGTTTTTCTCCTCTTTTCAAATATGTCATTTATTTTCATGTAGATTGCTTGGTTTTCTTTCTGCTGGTCAGATACTGCAAAATTATGGCCATTGTTATGCGACAATTCTGACCTATAAAAATTTGAGATAAAGCATGCAGATATAGCTGACTATGATGCTTTGGAACTGTAGAGTGCAAAAAACTATATAAATTTTGTGTGTAAAAAGGTGAAATACAATAATAAAATAGAAAAATTTACTATGGCTCTAGTTGGCAAGGGCTTTCAATGTTATGTAATTTTTGAAAAACATAATCAAGCAGCACTGACAATCTGAATAGATACTTGCACTCTATGGGCCTTCATCATGCTATGTGCAAAATTTCATAGAGGTATGACAATTCTAAGTATACGAACTAGCGTGTATAAGAAGCACAGATCACACAAAACTGCAAAAGGAGAAAAACGCATTTGAAAGTTTGAAACCTTTTTTTTATCACAGAGTTGTTAGAAATGCATAATCTTTGGCCATAATGTTCAACAGAACTTTGAAAAGCACTGCAAGTTACTGGAACTGTCCTGCAGCATAGGTTGTGCCCTCACGGTTCTTGCGAGCACTCTCTTCTAGTCGTGCCCTTTTCACTCCACGACGACAGTGGGCCCTTGCTTCTGCTGTCAGACGCTCGGACATTCTCTTGATGCGCCTCGCATCGCGCGAATCACTGAAAGTAACTAGATCTCTAGATGGCAGTATGTTGAGCTCTTCCAGGATGTGCTCGAAAGTAGCATGACCCTTGTTGAACCACATTATTGCCATAGCTGCGGCAGTCTCGACAAGCCGTTCGGGAGACAAACTTAGTCTTGGGGCAAAGTAGCCAAATTTTGCTGTTCAGGGATTCCGATGCGTTCTGGGTTTTCCCTTTGATGCATCGAGCAAGGAGCTTCTCATCCGTTAGCCGCTTATAAATGGGCAAAACAGCCAATCCCTGTGCTTTTGTCAGGAGAGGTGTGTGGCGTGGTGCAGGTTCACCAAGTGCTTCAGCGCGTTGATGTTTGCACCACGACTCTGTTCCTGCAGGGCAAAACTTGTGGCTGCCAGCATTGTCAGTAGAGCATGAGTGGAAGTACGAAGCCCATACTGCAGTGTACATATCCCGTACACTCCCCCTGTTGCTTGTTATGGCAATCTGATAGTATGTTTGGAGCTTCTGAATGGCTGGCTCTTTCATTTTCTGCCCTCGTGGTAATGGCACATGCAGCTTCCGTAGCGCGGTGCCAAGTCTCTTGGCCACATGATTAGTGCAGTCTTCTTTTTCTATATTGACAGCACCATAGACTTTTGACTCTGCAACTGCACTATATGCTTTGCCTGTCACCGTCACTCAAGAATGTCATGAAATGCAGTGGGGTTTCATCAGTCAATGTTCTCTGCCAAATGCGCATTGCAGCCTTCATTTCCATGGCATGGGAGGGACAGTCTGCATTTTTTTCACAGACTGGGCCATGGAATGCCTGCCACACTTCCTCGTCTGGGCCCATATCCTTGTGCCTACTGCATGTCAGGCAGTAATTTGATATGCCCTCGAAGTCTAAGCAGAGGCCAGTATCTAAGGAGATAACTGCGCCAATCCCGTTGTGGCTTTTGTGGCCCCTCTTCTGCCAAGTGCCGTCGAACATAACAGCCACATCAGTTTCGCCTGCTAGTACCGTATATACTCGTGTAAGGGCCGCCCTCGTGTAAGGGCCGCACCCCAACTTTGAAAGCGGATATTTCGAAAAAAAAAAAAACAAAAGTTCAAAATGTCCCGCCAGAAAAGTGTAGTTAGTTCATTTACAGCCAGATGGCGCTGCACGCTTTTCCGCTTTTATTCTACTTCCGCCGACGCGCCGACCACGCTGTTGACAGCGCGCCGCCATATTTGCCTTGTGCGGCCTCTTTGTTGGCATCGTTCCTAGCATCGTGTCGATACGTTGGCAGCGCGACTTCAGATCGGTGTCGTCGGTGTCACTTTGTTGGTTGTAGTGAACCCTGCAGAAGCCAGCGCACGTGACGGACGATGGGCCGGCATCTGAGATCATTCACTGCAGCATTTAAGCTGCAAGTGATTGACTATGCCGAGGAGCACGGGAAGCGGGAAGCTGGACGAAAGTACGACGTCGATGAGAAGCGCGTGCGTTACTGGATGAATCAGAAAGATGCCCTCGCCGCTACTAACAGGAGCCGAAAGGCGTTTCGCGGGAAAAAGTGCAAGTACCCGCAACTCGAAAGCGAGCTCGTCAACTACGTCGTCGACACACGAAGGGACGGCTACGCCGTATCGACTGACATGATACGCGTCAAAGCCCTCAGCATCGCTCGCCACATGGAAATACCCCCGGCACAATTCAAGGCAAGTCGGGGCTGGGCTACGCGGTTTATGAACCGTAACCAGCTTTCTATTCGGCGCCGAACGACGATTTGCCAAAAACTGCCGCGCGAGTACGAAGACCACGTCATTAAGTTTCATCGCTTCGTGAATGCTCTCAGGAGGGAGCATGAATACGACCTGTCCCAAATTGGGAATGCGGACCAGACACCTGTGTGGTTCGATGCACCGGAAAGCACCACAGTGGATTTAAAAGGTGCGAAAAGTGTGTCTGTGCGCACGACTGGTGCAGAACGCCAAAGGTGCACTGTGATGTTGTGCATCACGGCAGACGGCAGGAGGCTTCCGCCGTACGTCGTATTTAAAAGGAAGACTCTCCCAAAAGAGAAGTTCCCTCAGGGAATCGTCGTACGTGCGCAAGAGAAGGGCTGGATGTCCGAGGAACTGGTCGTTGACTGGATTAAGACCGTCTGGGCAAACAG